CGCCAGATGCAGCTTTGTCACGCTGGCCACGTGACCCGGAAGTGTCTCCGGACAGCGCTGGCCCCCGGCCTCTTAAGTGAGATGGGCGCACAACCCTAGAGTCTGTCAAGACTGGCCCGTACGGGCAGGGGTACCTTTACCTTTTTTTTAGCACTATATAGCTCTATAAAGGGTAAATGACAGATCCTAGGATTTTGCGGGGGAAGCAATGAGCTTTAAATGCGCTTTAATCGTACCATGTGTACGCAGCCTTAAAAACCGGGAGGTGAGGGAACAGGTGTTTTCAAACATTCTAAGGTGGCCTATAGTGGCATTAGGGGGGGAATTCTGACTGGGGGATGTAGAAGGGGCAAATTATATTTCTAGGTGGGTGAGCTGTGTACCATGCGTTAAGATCTCTGGAAGAAAAATAACAGCATATGTTAATGATAGGAGCCCAGCAATGGGTGGAGGGTGGGGAAAGCAAGTTCCATGTTGATAGGAGTCTTGACCCCATGCCCCCTCCCTCTGGCACATGGTGGGTCATGATGGCACATGGTGGTGGGTCATAATGTCACCGTTAAGGAACTGGGTGAATTGTCTATTGCCCTCAATCCTCATTAATCAGACATCCAAGCCCATCAGTCTGATTAGTACCAGTGGTACCTCGGGTTAAGTACTTAATTCATTCCGGAGGTCTGTACTTAACCTGAAACTGTTCTTAACCTGAAGCAACACGTTAGCTAATGGGGCCTCCTCCTGCTGCTGTGCCGCCAGAGCACAATTTCTGTTCTCATCCTGAAGCAAAGTTCTTAACCTGAAGCACTATTTTTGGGTTAGCGGAGTCTGTAACCTGAAGCGTATGTAACCTGAGGTACCACTGTATTGATGAAAAGGGCAAAACTGAAAGACAGACCCTCACATGAGTCAATAACCTTTTCTTATGCTGATTCATAAAGTTTGTTTTCCTGCTGACTAAGATGGTGATAAGCACGGGAGAAAAAGAATTCTGAGTGTGCAAGAGAACAATTGGCCTGTTTCATCAGCAGCTTAAGCAGGTGCACCACAGGTGCAGAATGAAGGGTTTTTATTGTATCCTTTATATACATCCTCTCAGTTATATCTTTGTACAAGGCATTGATGATCAATACTCAAGGTGCAGAGGGCGGAAATGACGCAGTAATATGAAACAATGCTTTGTAACCTTTTCTGCCAGTCTCAGGAAAGGTGATTCATACTCCCACATGCTACTGATCAACTATGTTTTTGAAATAATATTGGAAATGCTAAACTTTCTGCTGAAAGCAATTTAGATCACTATTTAGATACATAATATTTTACTGGATCAAAGGCCCGGTTTGATTCATGTCCGCTCAGTTTATACAGTGGTACCTCGGGTTAAGTACTTAATTCGTTCCAGAGGTCCGTTCTTAACCTGAAGCTGTTCTTAACCTGAAGCACCATTTTAGCTAATGGGGTCTCCCGCTGCTGCCGCACCGCCAGAGCACGATTTCTGTTCTCATCCTGAAGCAAAGTTCTTAACCCGGGGTACTATTTCTGAGTTAGCGGAGTCTGTAACCTGAAGCGTATGTAACCTGAAGTGTATGTAACCCGAGGTACCACTGTATTTCTTAGAGTACATATTTGAACCCCTAGTTTCTCTTACAACGGAAAAAAAGGAATAATCTGTTAGGATCTCATATTCTATCAATCATGTTAACAATTATGGTGCAGCAATAAAACTGTTAGCACCTTTGTAAAATCAAGCAGGGTCTGGTATGGTTTCAAATTGGATCGGACACCGTGTGTTTGGATGGTTGGACAAGATGTCCCCTGCAGTGGCGTAGCGTGGGTTGTCAGCACCCGGGGCAAGGCAAGTAATTTGCGCCCCCTAACCCGTGGATTTGCGCCCCCTAACCCGTGGATTTGCGCCCCCTAACCCGTGGATTTGCCCTAACCCCAGATGTTGCGCCCGGTGCGGCTGGCCCCCCCTGCACCCCCACGCTACGCCACTGGTCCCCTGGAGCCCCTTCCAATTCTATGATTCTCTATACTGCCACACCTCAAGATTTAGTGGTCCCAGGGGTTGTGAATCACAGCCTTCCCTCTTCAATGAGAAATAGTTTGATGGTGGCCTGCTGGTTTTTTTTTGCGTGTCTGATGGAGAAAGATTATTTCATAACCATTTTGTCTTCAGAAAATCACACACCCATTCCATTTAATTACTGTTTCCAGGTCCCTTGCATCCCAACAGTATATACAGAAAGTCCACTCATAATTAGTGCTTGCTTAGAAAACGAATGACAAGACAGAGCTGTCACATGAAAACCATGTGCCAATAAGACAAAAATATGTATATCTCCTGTTTCAGATGCCAGTCTCGTTCTGGTGATCGCTTTGTGATATTTTTCCAGTGTCTTGGAAACAAAGGGTTAGGGACAGGGGAAGATTCATGTGACCAAAGAAAGCTAAGACTTCACCACCACCTCCTGTCCTGGCCTTAATATACAGCAAGAATTTCCTTGCTGGATGAGACCAAGAGTCTATATACCTAAATAAACCCACACCCCAGAGTATTTTCAGCAACCGGCTCTCCCTCCTCTGGGAAGTAAATGAGGCGATAAAAAAGATTTGTCTTGCTGCTGCTGACAGTAACTGTGGAGAGAGGAGATTTGAAGCATCTGGCTCCTCATTCTTCACCTCTCACCCCCTTTCTCCACTAGCAAATCCATTGCTTTTCTTTCCAGCTGGCTAGGAACTCCAGCGAATCCCTTAGAGAGACCAACGCTCCAACAGGCAAGCTCAGTCTGTGGCTGAGTTTTTACAATTGTGGCTGAGTTTTTACAAAGAGGCTGAGCAGTCGGCTAGCTGATTGCTATCCCTGACACTCATTTAAACATAGCTGCTGATCCTGAAGGGGAGAAACCAAAGGGTGCTGGTCCCTTTGGGGCTGTAACTGTTGCTGGTTCTGTGAAGCTACTCCACCCAAACTCAAGACCACAGTTATCAGAATCAGGCATGTAAGGTTGTTGGCTGTATCCGATTGTTTCTCTGCTGATAGGCTTTTTGATGCATCAGGTTTCCATGAGCAGGCGGTAATTTTCACCAATTCTCCTCCCATCTGCTTTTCTCTCCCCATGTTTCCCAAAACATTGAGACACCTTACAGAGCAGCGTGAGGTGGCACGGCAGAAAGGATTTTGCATGTGTGCAAAAGTCACCTCCTTTTTGCTCACTTTATGTTCTACTGGATTAAGGAGATTTTCAATAGCAGGCCACAATATCATATGTTGTGTCTTCCACTGTTTGGATAATTCAAAATATTTCATTCTCATTGTTCTTCCTCTGTGAGCTGAGTGGACACATGTAGAACTGCTGTGATGTAGGCAGCCTAGGAATTGTTTTGCTTTAAAGCACATGTATTTAGTTCAATACTGCCTTCAAATATATTAAACCATATTTACTGTTGATTCACTTTAGCAATAGTAGCTTTTATTTTTATTTTTTGCTCTTGAACAGCATTCCCCCCAAGCATTTTGAGAATGCTGAATATAAAGGCAATTTCTGAAACACCAACAGCTATAACAACGCTTGTAGCCTGAGAGAACCTCTCATTGTACAAAACTGAGAAATTATTATGAACAAAAATATGATTTCTGCATACAACCCCAGGAGTCAAATGTGTTCCTGTTGAACTTTAATTAGGGCTACCTCACATGTTGCAAAAGGCTAACATGCAAGAAAAAGTACTTCCTTCTCCAATGATGAACCTAAATTAGCCAAATATGCATTGCACTCTCAGCTTGGGATACCTCTAATGTACACACAGTATATATCAAGTTTAAAAAGGTGATATGGCTCTCAGCCAACTATTTTTCTGATCCCCCCCTAATGTCATTAGCATCCTGTCTAGGTGAAACAAATTTATTATGTTATCAGGACCCATGGCTCGTCACAGTATTATGTTTTTAAAGTTTTATTTCATGCTACTAGAGTGCACCATCCTTTAAAAGCATTCAAGATCCCTTTAAAAGCATGAAGATATTACATCTACAACATACATTTAAAAGTCAATTCCCCCCTAAAATTCTTCTTCTTAGGTAATTTGTTTGCAGTATTTGCTTTGTTCTGCCAAACAGTCCAGATGCAGAACAGCTGAAGTCTTCCTCTGTCTTCCATCCTAACATCCAAGGGCTTAAGGCACCCCAGAAATGTTTGCTAACAGTGAGCAGAACAAATGCTTTCTTTCAGTGCTATTTTCATGTGTGTCAGAACAGTTCAATGTGTATGCCACAATTGCTTTCTATTAAATAAGAACATTTATACACAGCCTAAATTTGCACATTTACTAGATTCATACAGCTATACCAATTCTCTAACACCACTTGTTAATTTATGAGGTAAGCAGGAACTTTTCAGAACTTGTTTTCAGCATGCTAGTGAATTAGAAACATCCTTCTAAATACTTCCATTAGATCAGCTGGGTATCAAAGCAAAATACAGTGGTGCCTCGCAAGACGAAATTAATCCGTTCCGTGAGTCTCTTTGTCTTGCAGTTTTTTCGTCTTGCGAAGCACGGCTATTAGCGGCTTAGCGGCTATCAACGGCTTAGCGGCTTTAAGAAAAAGCAAACAAACTCGCAAGAACTCGCAAGACGTTTCGTCTTGCGAAGCAAGCCCATAGGGAAATTCGTCTTGCGGAACGACTCAAAAAACGGAAAACTCTTTTGTCTTGCACGTTTTTCGTCTTGCGAGGCATTTGTCTTGCGAGGTACCACTGTAAAACATTTAATGATCAGAAATGGTTTTTAACAAAGCCAAAGTTTTTAGTTTAGTAGTGGTATATTATACCGACAAGCAACAGAGTGCTGCTCTACAACTACAACCACCTTTTCCAGAAGAATAATTAAGCAAAGATTAAAAAGCTGAAGTCACAAGTGGAGAGGAGACAGGCAGACCACCAATTTCAGCCAAAATTCTTTTAAAAGAACTTCACTCTTTGGGGAGCAGGGGATGAGCAATGTTAAAAGGCAAGCTTTTTTATTATACTAGAATCAGAATAATCTTTATTTATTATTACTAGCCATAGCAATAAAATAAAATATAAAATACTTTTGACCGGTATTTGAAAACATGATCTAATTAGGGCCATGATTGTGCTAACATAGAAAATAATAATAAAACATATCTTGGGATAAGACATATCTTATTTAGAACACATTTATTTAAAATAAAATCCATCAGACTTCCATGGAATTTGTTTTCAAGTGTTCTTATGGTGTTTGCCTAGTAGTGGTCAGGCAATGTATTTATAAACTGCTTATAATATTTTAGATTCTTCACACTTTTCATTACCATTAGCCTCTTTGTCACATTTGTAAATCAAGAAGAATACGATGTAGAAAAAAATGGAATAGCAACCACTTCTACATTCACATTCGTAACCATAGCAATTTTAATCCTTGTTACAGCAGTTATATGGCAAACCCTTCAACAGAGTTGTCAAAGTTCATTGGTTTTTGAGAGCATTCAAATGTAGTCAAAATAATTCTACGGACAGAAGCAAAGGCACACAGTCCTCAGTGCAAGTCCCTTTGAGAAGTGACAAGACTTTAAGAACAAGATCACAGCTATCTTTCATTTCAAATTGAGTTTGTGCAGGATTTATCAGCAATCGGAAAATCACACTCTACACAGCAGATACAGATTTACAAAAGATGTTGCAATAGTTTATTTACATTTCAATATTGAAAAGCCCTGGCCTGTATAGACTTCCATGCTTCATTTATCTCTCTCTCTCTCTCTCTCTCTGATTAAGTATTTCATAAAGGGCCTGGGACAACGCACATCTATTTACACAGGAACATTCTAGGTGGCTGGCAAGGAGAAAACCATTACTGTAGATTCTAAACTCGCAGCTTTCACTTGCTGACCTACTGCCTGAATACGTGGACTTTTGAATGGCCACACCCATCACCTTCTAAGAAACATTCTGGAGCAGCGCCGAGTAAAGAATTTTAGTGAACTGCAGAACAGCAACGTGCAAGGTGTACTGTACAACTACAGCCCCAAACCCTTTGTAAAACCCCAATATTCCTTCTTCGCGCTTTATGGTATTGATACAGTCTCTCATTCCTTCGTACTGGGTATTGATGGGGAGGACTTCGTATCCCAGGTCCGTATTGTCAATGATGGTGCGAGTCCCTTGGATATGAAGACGGTGCAAAACTGTCTCCAGAGGGTAGAGCATCACATCAGCGCAAAGGCTGGCAGCAAAGCTGGCAATAAGTTCCGGGAAATAAGAATCCAGCATGCTTTGCACAGAACTCGAGTTCTCAGCTGGAAGGCTGGGGGAGTTCTCTTTCTTGAGGAGGAGCAGGACTAACTTTTGAACAATGGAACTGATCACATAATGAAGAACTCCGTGTAGAACAGTTGGAAAGGCCAAGGCCAGGAGAGGGAGGAGCCGCTTGCTATGGGGCACTCCAAAGCCCATTGCTCTGCCTATGCCCTCTTTCAGACAATCCAAAATCCCAGGATTATCCCGAATGATTTCGCTCTGTAAAAAGAAAAGAAAGGAAAAAGCACCACAGTATTTCCAATGAATAAACATCCAGAAGTTGTGACTTTTGCCATTTTTAATTTTTTTTTACTTATAAACAAATTATGCATAACCAGCTTCAGCAACAGGATCATAATCCACATTTGCAGGGATACTCTCAGCATAGTCTCCCTGCAGTCAAGAAGCATCAAAAACGACAAGGAAGTGGGGGACTGACCACCCTTACCTCACTGGATCTGGCTGGGGAAATTAGTGTTGTGGAGTCGGATCTCCTTTATGAATATTTCTTGCCACTACAGTTTAGTGCAGTGGCAGAAGGCCATTTTTCTGTATTAACACTTACCTCCCACCAGCACGCACCCTAGACATGGGGGTTAAGATTTGGACCGACCTAACAAGTCTAGACAGCATCTTAAAAAGAAGAGACATCACCTTGCCGACAAAGGTCCGTATAGTTCAAGCTATGGTTTTCCCAGTAGTGATGTATGCAAGTGAGAGCTGGACCATAAAGAAGGCTGATCGCCGAAGAATTGATGCTTTTGAATTATGGTGCTGGAGGAGACTCTTGAGAGTCCCATGGACTGTAAGAAGATCAAACCAATCTATTCTTAAGGAAATCAGCCCTGAGTGCTCACTGGAAGGACAGATCCTGAAGCTGAGGCAGTGCATAACCACACTCCCTTATCTCACTCACACGTAAATATACAGATACACGCTAACCTCTCCATATGTGTATTGAACAGAGCAAATTAGATCCCAAACAATTTACCGTAGGTCATTGGTATGAACAAACATTTTCTTGAAAACCTTTGGGGATGTGACAATACGTTAGTAGGTGTTTTCCAATTATATCTTTGCTAAATGGCAAAGGAAAGTAGTGGTTTGAAGCTATTCCCACCAAGTTGACATTATGCCTCTAAAAGATATCACACCCATTTTGGAAAAGGAAGGGAGGGAGGGGAGGGCTGTTTCCACCCATTAGCTTCCTTGAACTCTACTAGGCTGTATAAAACACAAACAGAAATTCACCAGCATTAATAATTTTTAAAATCCATGGTCAGGATCCCAAGAACCTGACAACTAGTCCTGTGCATCTAAAGAGGCTGTGGGCATTTATCAAGCAACACCATGCCACATGAAGGGCTATTTTTTAAAACCAATAGGAGTTTTCCATGTGGCACAGGGGGCTGCAGAAAAGATAGAGCATGTGGAACAAGTTGCACAGTTCTTGTGTCCTGGGCTCTGATCCTGATCACAAGCATTTCTCATGATACCAAGAGCCATTTCATTCCTCGTTTAAGAGAGTGCCAAGTAGAAAGAAATAAGCACGTGCAGGTTTTTAATTTCACGTTGTAGTAACAGGGAAGGTGATTTTTCAAAATATGCAGGCGAAAACCTCAAAGGATATTTTGGAAGCATGAGGACACACAGAGAGAGCTGCACTACTGTGGTTAATTGAACACAGAAATGAACCAAATCAGCTGCTCAGTTTCATCCTATATTCTTCAAACCCCCAAGCCAAAAAACTTTGAAGTAACTGGTGCGCCACCAAGTGGCTTGGAATGGCACAAACTGAAAAGCACTAAACTAGAAAATAAACTTGCTGAGCGATGAAACGTGCAAGCCCAATCAAATTTGACAGGTAGTTCAATACATTAAGAGAGTTTTCCTCACCACACAGTTCAGATGTCATTCCCCGCCCATTGATACAGCTTTTGGCACCTTTGTGTTGGATTTTCCAGATCCAAATAAAACCATTTAAAGAAATTAGCTGAAATCAGCTCTTGAAAGATAGGAATTATTTGCTGTGAATTTAAAAATAACTAGTAATACAAACCATGATATTGCTGTGTATCAAATACTTTTAATAAAGCAGAATATCTCTTCTTCCAGGGACAATGCAAATAAAGACAGAATACTAAAGCTCAGGCCAGCTGATGCTAGGATACTTTCACCTCTGATTCCCCAAATAATGTTACCTGACAGCAGACTAAAAGCATTTAACTTACCTGTACTGTTTCAATCAGACTTGCAGAATAAAAAGGCATTGCTATCAAGCAAGTCAGCCTAGAGGAAAGCACAGACACTTATCATTTTGATAATGACATGGTTTTTTTGCTACAGTTTCAAACAAACAGCCCAGTCAACAGTCCATCTAAACCAGGGATCAGCAAACATTTTCAGCAGGGGACTGGTCCATTGTCTCCTCAGACCTTGTGGGGGGCTGGACTATATTTTGGGGAAAAAGAGAACAAATTCCTATGCCCCACAAATAACCCAGAGATGCATTTTAAATAAAAGCACACATTCTACTCATGTAAAAACACCAGGAAGGCCCCACAAATAACCCAGAGATGCATTTTAAATAAAAGGACACATTCTACTCATGTAAAAACACGCTTATTCCCGGACCATCCGTGGGCCGGATTTAGAAGGTGATTGGGCCAGATCCGGCCCCCGGGCCTTAGTTGGCCTACCCATGATCTAAACGGAGCCTTTAATTTAAATCAGTTTAGCCCTGTTTCTAAGATTTAAATTATTTGGCTTAGGTGGGGGAAGGTGCTGTTAAAATCCTCCTAATGGTAAGATGAATCCACATCCAAGATTAATTTAGTAGATACGGATTCTTATGGCATTACTTCTCAATATGCATATCAAGTGAAATATAGTGGTACCTCTGGTTGCGAACGGGATCCATTCTGGAGCCCCGTTTGCAACCTGAGCAGAACGCAACCCGCGTCTGTGCGGGCCACGATTCGCCGCTTCTGTGCATGAGCGTTATGTGATTTTGAGCGTCTGTGCATGTGCGAGTGGCGAAACCCGGAAGTAACCCATTCCGTTACTTCTGGGTCGCCGAGCGATGCAACCTGAAAAGATTTAACCTGAAACAAACACAACAAGAGGTATGACTGTAGATCATATTCTACAAAACCATTGGTATAATATTTCTGTGCAAATTCATTAGTGGGAGTCTTACAGAAATGACAGTTCAATTCCAAAGGCCTCATTTCTAGACATTAATGCAGCAATCTCCTTAGATGTACTCCTCGGAGCAAGATGGAGACACATGATAAGACTTACATATATAAAGATTAAGCGATTTGAGAGTCCTAAAATTTAACTCAATTTGAAGTTGTAGAGTCAGGTATGCTAATCATCTGCATACTATTCATTGCTTTTTCCTGTAGGACTAATTGCAGTCATTAACAGTCGTCAACAGGTTTACCATACCCATTGAGTCAATCACCCAACTCCTACTACCCTCCTGAGAAAAACCCCACCCCACCCTCCCACTATATATAAGGGTCTGGTGACTTCTGTTTCAGTGTATCTGAAGAAGTGTGCATGCACACGAAAGCTTATACCAAGAACAAACTTAGTTGGTCTCGAAGGTGCTACTGGACAATTTTTTATTTTTTAAAATATATTTCAGTTTGCAGTTGACACACTTCAGATTGCTAAAAAAAAAGTTATTGCCATGTTTCTGATTAATCTTTTTTTTTGCATATTTGCACTATTAAGTTGCTCTTGGTTCTTTTTTCAAGTAGTATAACAACATCCTTCTGTATTAAAAAAAATTTGGAAGTAAATTTAACACAGGTACGTACCCTTTCAGCATAAGATGTCCTCCTATCTGCTTGGGACTCCACTTATATGAAAGTTCTCTACAAAAAATAAAGTAGTAATTGGCAATAAATGGTTACTAACCAAAATTCAAGGCATAGATACCGGTCACTCCTTTATATCTTATGGTGAAGTGACTTGCACAACAGGCAACACACAACAGCAACAGTCTGCTTGCGGAACAGACTTCTGCTCACATGACGGATATTCTTCTCTTCTCCTGCCAGCAGCCCTCCCTGTGCAATGGCAAAAATCTGTTCCAGAGGGTGCAGGGGTGAAGGCAAAGTTGTTTGTGCAGGGTTGGATATTGCTCATAATCTACAAGTTTTCAGAGACACCGGTGCCTACAAAGCTCTGCCTGAACAGTGCTATGCTATGCATTTCTACATCAGAGATTACACCGCATATAGGAAAGCCACTGCATGTACAGAACATTTCCCGCAAAAGAAGAAAATCTTTAATAAAAATACATTAAAAAAAGAAGAAGAAAGGAACAGAAGAACCTGTTTCTGGGCCTTTTTCACGTTGAACCATGAAAGGCTACAGAACCTAAGAACTTTATTAAATTTAAATTTTGTAATATAGTGGTTTTGTTCCGTAAGTAATTTTTAACAGTTGTTTTGAATGACACCAAAACTATTAATACAGATTTCATAGATTTTTAACACACTATCAGTGTTAGCACCAGGTACGATCTAAAGGCAAAATGTGTAGATCCTTATAACTATCTGGGCAACTGTGACTGAGGCGCAAGGGGAGGGAAGAAAATGGTTTGAGCAAACCTCTGCAAGGATATTTCTTTACCTAGCAGTGGTAACAGGCATTTATACCTTTTTGAAGAGTTTTATAGCTTCCTACTGTGGATTCCTTTAAACCCAATCTAGTAAATTAGCATCTAGAACAGTGCAATGACTGTGTTTTACGGCTATCAGAATATTTTTCAATGCAATGTTTTTATTGTATTGAGTTATTTTCATTCATTTTGCAATAATCAGCATGTCAATGAGTCTTCCTTTACTAACTACTGGCTAGTTACATTTTAAATATTGCTTTATGTTCCTTGAGGTCATGCAGATCCCAGTAGTGACTCTCCAATACAGCGAAGCTCACACTCTCAAATGCTTTACATAGTTTGTAATGCCAATCTCCATTCTGTTATTTCAGTAGCAAAAAGGCAGCAGACTTGGATCTCTACTTTCGCTAAAAGACTACAGTTACTTTACTTTGGGCTTGCTCCTGGATTTCAAAATGCTACTGCCAAGATAACAAGCTTACTCTTTGAATGACACATAATCAGCTTGGATCTACTTAACAGCTAAAACAGCTCATCTTAACTGGAAGAGACACTGGCCAACAGGAAAAAAACTACTACTAAGAAATGGTATCAGCTGCTCAAGGTCAAATAGTCTTCAATCTGGAAACATAGGGAGCATCTGATACTCTTGAAGTGTATTTAGCTTCCAATAGGAGAGGGAAGCAAGTGTTAAGAAGAGCTCTAATTCACAGGAAGACTCAGTTACTGTTTATACAATTAACACCCCACCAGGAAATATATCTGGTTTTCTTAAAAGAGGTACACAGATCAGTTTACAGTGCAATCCTAAACCGTGCCTGCTTCAAAAGTCAGCTCCACTAAATTCAGTGGAGCTTACTCTCAGGATTGGGACCAGATAATGGGTCTACTGAAGACATCATAGTCTAATTTTGGGGCTCTTCAGCAACCATCTTCTATAGGCCCATATTTACTAATGGCAAACGTACCCCACAGCTTCTTGGCTGTTGATCTCACCCATGTCATCATGCTCATTTCCTTTCCTGCTCTTTATGCCACTATTTTCAACAATGCCTTCTGTAATTCTACAAGGAGGATCTACTATTATTCCAGGGATATTCCCAAGTATAAGATATCATCACCTCTGGCCATTCAGATCTGCCACAATAGGACTAATTCAAGCCAGCTTTTATATGTTCTTGGAAACCTAAGACTTTAGACAGAATTGCAATGCCACGTTCTTGGCACAAAACAGGTAACTAAGCATATTCCGCTGCACAGTTCTACTAAGGCAAACGTTGCAGCAGTTAGTCAGACTTAAGGTGGGTGGATGAAATCCATCGGTGTCTGTCCATTAGTAGAACAGATACCGTTGGCAGAACTGTGCACCTTCCAGAGGGTTGGAACAAATACTGCCTGGAGAAGAAAGGGGGTTGCTGAGGGAAGAGAGGAAGGAAAAGGCTGCTGTGTGAGTGGAAGTCCACTTGCGTGACATTAAGAACATAAAAAGAGAGATGCTTGATCAGGCCAGAGGCCTTTCTAGTCCAACATATCATTTTCGCAGTGGCCAGTCAGATGACTATTGGAAAGCACAAGTGGCAGGTGGGATCTGACTGCAGTGTCGCCCA